TAATCAATTATGAGTTGTTTCTGGTAGAGTTTACTATTCCTTCAGCTCAAGAGGGATTTCTTCAACAGTAGGACTTTTCTTTTTCTGTTTGTATTCCTCTCAAAAAGAAACACATACCTCCTTAGCTCTGCTCCACTAACAGGACTGTTGTCATAGTGTCTTCTTCCACTCTCCTTGCCTTCTATAAAAGCAGTCCATTCACCAGCATGTGAGATGAGTAAGATTAAATGCTTTTGCTATTTCTCCTCAGGAGAAAAATCCAAACATATTTACACTGTGGAAAAGCTACCTATGTGGAAATATCTGCCATCAGAGCTTATACTGGATCCCTCAAAATACAGTACTCTCGAGATGGAAACAAACTGATAGAAAATTGCTTGAAGAGAAAGGTAGCCTGACATAGAAGAACTTGGTCTGAACTGAGAGAGAGAAAACTTGGGTCTGATGCCTATTTGATCACTAACTAGATGTTTGATGCCAGGAAGGTCACCTGAACTTTCTGAGCTTCAGTTTTTCCACCTGTGAAATAAGGGATAGGACTTAATTTGTGATTCTTTCATGATAGCTATGTTGTACTAAAGAAACTTTCAAGGTCTACTTCTGAAAAGCCTAATTGCAGCTCAGGATAATGATGGGGCTCAACTCATGGAACCACAAACTCCTTTGTGCAGCCCATATATGTCTCTTATTAATTAAAATGGGAACAAAAGTTAGTTATTACTTAATACAGGCATCGTCAAACTATGGCCCACGGGCCACATGAGTCCCGCCTAGGACATTTATCCAGCCCGTCGGGTGTTTTTGCCACTACTGCCTGTCCTGCTTAGCAGCTGACTCATCCTGGGGCCCTCAGTCTGGCCCTCCAGTGGTCTAAGGGACAGTGAACTTGTCCTCTGTTTAAAAAGTATGAGGACCCCTGGCTTAATAAATGCTGTCTATCAAAAAGACAAATTATCTCAAAAGAAAAGAGAAAAACTAATTCAAAAAGGTAGTAAGAATGTTGGAAAATTATGGAAGTAGGTTGTCTCAAAGGTCCCTTTTAGCCTTGAAATTCCACTGTCCTATGATCTCAGCTTATCAAATATCTGAGAGCTCAAACAAACTAGACTTTCAAAGGGCAAAAAAAATCCAGTCAGCAATTTGTGTAAGTAGAAAGAAAGAAAGCCTTTAAAGTCAGAAGCACCAGAATTTAAACCCCAGATTTGTCACTTCTCTGTGACCAAGGTGAGGTCATTTAATCTTTATGGGCCTTAATTTCTTCAGTCGTAAAACAGAGTTAATAATTCCTACCCCATAGGTTTGACATAAAGACTAAAAGAGATAAATTAGGTAAAGCAACTGGCACATAGTACACACTCAGACTCTTGGACAATATCAGAACTACCCCATCTTCCTCTCCACTTCCTTTTTTCCCATGGGACATCTCACACTTAACCCCTTTCACAACCTGCTTGAACATTAGCAAAGTTCCTGTACAGAGGGCTCCTCTCTTTTCCATAGTCTACTTCTTTTCCCCTAATATCTGTAAAATAATTCTACTTGGCCAGTGGCAGATAGAACAAGAGAGTTTGGGGCCCATTCAGCAGGCCAAATTCTTAGTCTCATTTCTGACAGGCTTTATCTATTTTCATGTACCTCATCTTGACATTAGTGCCAGCATATAATGCCATGGGAAAGGGCAGAAGAGAAACTGAAGTTCCTTAGGATTCTTTGGTTCTAACTTCTAAATCTTAATAATTTAAAACAAGCAGCTCTTTGACTCATAGAACATTATTGCTAGGAAAACACTGAAAATCACGTCTTTGAATTCAGCCTGCTCACCCTCAATAAGCACACAAGTTAAGATTTCACAGAGACGGGAATGGACTCATATGGGCTTCCCAACTCCTGGGTTAATGCCCTTTCCCATGGGCATTTGAAGGGTTAATGTATTTAAAATTTGAAAGAAAGAGAGAGAGAGATTGAGATTGAAGGTTTTGTGAACATTCCAGGAAAATGTATTACACACGCAGCTACTCAGGGTTTCATGTTTATCTATCTGAGATATTGGTATCTGCTCCAGCAAGGAAGGATGCTAATATATTTAAAAGCTGTGATGACGCATTACCAGCACAATGTATTGCCAAGACCAATTTTATTTTACAAGAAATTATGTAAAGTTCAACAAGACCTTACTCCATGGAGCTATGAGTATCTGAGAGTACTAAAAATACTAACAATACTTAGAATTTTTTTCTAGACACTTGATGGTCAATTCAAATTACTAGATTTTTATTTTCTTTCTTTCATTTGGCCACTCCTCTCCATTTTCTTTTCTCTTTTCATTTGCATTTTTCTTTCTTATATATTTTTCCTTGTATTAAGTCATACATATGTAGATCATGAATACATTTATGACTTTGTGGCATTAAATGTGCTGGGTTTTTTGTACAAATTGGAGTACTTACATGCAACTAATTAGCATAGCTTTCACTTCGTTTACTTAATCAATGTGTTAAGACATTTGTGTTCTATACTTGATAGATTTGACTTGTACCCTTGAAATATTCTCCATAGGTGTGGTCCCACCATTTACCCTCCCTCTATCAAACCACTCTCTTCCCTCCCATCTTCCTCCCTTTCCCTACCTCATCCTGGGCTATAGTTGTGATTCATTGTTCATATGAAACTGTGAGTTATTATAAATTGGTTTCATAATAGTACTGAGTACATTGGATATTTTTTCTTTCGTTCTGAAGATACTTTACTAAGAAGAATATTTTCCAGCTCCATCCATGTAAACATAAAAGAGGTAAAGTCTCCATCTTTTTTAAGAATGCATAGTATTCCATGATATAAATATACCACAATTTATTAATCCATTCATGGGTTGATGGGCACTTCGGCTTCTTCCGTGACTTGGCAATTATGAATTGAGCTGCAAATAACAATCTGGTGCAAATATCTTTGTTACAAAGTGATTTTTGGTCTTTTGGATATATACCTAGTAGAGGAATTGTAGGATCAAGCAGCAGGTCTACATTTAGACCACTGAGTATTCTCCAAACTTCCTTCCAAAAGGAACGTACTAGCTTGCATTCCCACAAGCAGTGCAGAAGTGTTCCCTTTTCTCCACATCCATGCCAACATCTATAGTTTTCAGATTTTGTGATGTGGGCTACTCTTACTGGAGTTTTCCTCAAATTCTCATTCCCATTTTCTCTACTTTCTTTCTGGTTTCTTTTTTAGTCTTCATATCTCTTATCTTATCCTCCTCTTATGTCTCCTCCCTTTCTTTTTTATCCTCCTCACCTTCTGTACTTTCTCTTTCTCCCTTATTAACTTTCCCTCATCTCCTCTCTGTTCTTTACTCTCTTCTGTCTTGCTCCATTTTATCTCCAGTTGTTGTTTCTTCCTTATGCAATTCCTGGTAATGTGATTTTTTATTTTTTAAAAAGATCTTAATTATGACCACTTTCCCTTTTCTAATAGAGTTGAAACTCCAACCAGACATATAGAAATAGATTTTACATTGCACAAACAGATTTAATTGAGAATCCTTCCCAGATATGCCTTGCCAACTCCCAGTCAGTTCACTTGTACTTGCGATCTCCTTGTGAACATGTCCTTTCTTTCTCTCTCACTTCTTGGCTACTGTTATAACCAAATGCTGTAGTCAGGAGCTAGATGTCTGTGAGTTCTGTACAAACTTAATATTCAAGTCCCTTCTGCAAAGAGACTTATAGGCCATGACAGATAACATTTGATATAAACAGATGAAAGAATATAAAATGTTGAAACATCAGAGTAAGAGATTACCAAGTCTACAGCTCACATGTTATGTTGCTAGAAACTAGAACCTTAAGAGGGAAAGTACCCTACAGCTAGTCAGGGGACATATCAGTAGGCTTCATTGTGGACATCTGCAAACATTAGCCTTGTACTGGTCACTCCTTCCTTGGAAATGGGCTGGGGCTCATTTGTTTCTGTAATACTAACATCTAGTATAGGATTTTCTCTACTAAGTAAATGAATGATGGGCATCCAAGTTAGAACAGCATCTTACATTATGACTCCACAAAACTCTTTTTGTTCAATTGTACAATGAGGTTAACAGCAGTAGCTCTCTCATAAGGTTAATGTGAGGATTAATTAAGATAACCTATGTAAAGCACTCAGAACAGTGCCTGGAACACACAATAAAAATTTTGGGTAATCTTTACCTGCTGTTGCTGTTAACGTATATAGTCTGAGAAATTGTAGCTGAAGTGCAGTTTTTATGAGTAACTCAAAGATCATAGGGTATATGGGTGAATGAATGATACACCTGTCTTTACCATGACCCTACTCTAAAGGAAGGCTTCTGAACTTCAACAACATTGACATTTTGTTTGGACAATTCTTTATAGGCTATTTAGTAGCATTCTTGCTCTCTACTCACTACATGTTAAAATTAATAGCACCTGTCTAAGTATAATATCCAAAAATCTCACCATTATTGCCAAATGTTCCCAGTGGGAAATATAAAATTGCCTCCATTTAGAACCATTGACTTCTATGAACATCAAAGTACAATGCAAGGTGCTAGCCATTTGAACTTATAAGAGGCCCAGGTGGGCTCGGCGCCTATAGCTCAACCGGCTAAGGCGCCAGCCACGTACACCTAAGGTGGCGGGTTCGAATCCCCAGCCCGGACCCGCCAAAACAACAATGATGGCTGCAACCAAAAAATAGCCGGGCGTTGTGGCGGGCGCCTGTGGTCCCAGCTACTTGGGAGGCGGAGGCAGGAGACTAGCTTGAGCCCAGGAGTTGGAGGTTGCTGTGAGCTGTAATGCCACGGCACTCTACCCAGGGGGACAGCTTGAGGCTCTGTCTCAAAAAAAAAAAAAAAAAAAAAAAAAAAAAAAAAAAAGAGGCCCAGGTGAACTTATATCTTCAATTAGTTGCCACTTGTTCAGTGTAATTAGGAGCATGGTATCAGTAAGTCTATATCTTTAATCTTAATTGAAATTTATTTTTTTATACTTACCTGGATGGGGAGACATCATGATCACAAAGATGATATCCCAGGGCAAGACTTATCCATTGCACTCTGGATGTGCTGACCCCTGTGATTTCCCCAAACATAGGAAACTAGATTGCATAATTTGTGGTAGTGGGGGACTATGTTCGCACTTTCCACTAAAGTATATAAAAAAAATAAATTTATTTATTTTTAAATTATTTTTTATTAAATCACAACTGTATACACTCATGGGGTATAGTGTGATGATTTGATATACAATGTGGAATGCTTAAATCAAATTAATTAACATAACTATCACCTCACATATTTCTTGTGTTAAGATATTTATAATATACTCTTAGTTGTTTTGAAATGTACCCTTGCATTGTGCACTTTAGGTGAGATCCCACCAAATACTCTCCCTCCACTCACCCACATTCCCTCCCCTCTCTCTCCTCTCCCCTCCTTCTTTCTGGACTATAGTTGTCCAGAAAACTAGTTGGACTATAGTTGGACTATAGTTGTGTTTTATCATTTGTATTAATGTGTAAGTGATTATATATTGGTTTCATAATAGTATAGAGTACATTGGATACTTTGTTTTCCATTATTGAGATACTTTACTAAGAATAATATGTTTCTGCTCCATCCAGATAAACATAAAAGATATAAAGTCTCCATATTTTTTATGGCAGCATAGTATTCCACAGTATACATTTGCCATAATTTGTTAATCTGATCATGAGTTGATGGGCATTTTGACTACATCTGCCATTTCAATTGGGCTTCAATTAACATTCTGGTGAAAAATTCTTTGTTGTAAAATAATTTTTGTTCATCTGGGTAAATAACTAGTAATGGAATTGCAGGATCAAATGGTAGGTCAACTTTTAGTTCCTTCATAATTCTCCATATGTCTTTCAAAAAGGCTGTGTTAGTTTGCAATCCTTCCAGCAGTGTGGATGTGTTCCCTTCTCTAGCAATCCATGCCAACATCTTCAGTTTTGAGATTTTTTATGTGGGCTAATCTTACAGGAGTTAGGTGACATCTCAAAGTGGTTTTGATTCACATTTCTCTGATGATTAAAAGTGATGAGCATTTCTTCATGTGTTTGTTGTCTTCTTCAGAGAAGTTTCTGTTCAATTCTCTTGCCCACAAAGAAATTCGGTTATTTGTATTTTTCTTAATGATGAATTTAAGTTTCCTGTAGATTCTAGTTATTAGGCCTTCGTTGGAAACATAACCTGCAAAAATATTCTCCCATTTTGAAGGCTGTCTGTTTGCTTTTCTTGCAGTACCCTTAGCTGTGCAGAAGCTTTTTAACTTGATCAAATCTCAGTAATATATTTTTAGTGTTGCTTCAGTTGTTGGGGGGCAGGGGGGACATCCCCTCCTCATAAAATATTTTCCCAGGAAATGTAAAGTTAGAAATGGCAAGAGACAAAGACATAAGATACACAGAATAGAATTTTCAAAAGCGGGAGCACAGAGGACCGCTGCTAGATTGTGAGGTTTACAACACACTGGCACCAAGTGTTTGATCCACTCAGGTTTTTTTTTTCTTTTTTTTTTTTAGGCAATCTTGCTGGGTCACCCTAGGTAGAGTGCCATGGCATCATAGCTCCCAGCACTCTCAAACTCTTGGGCTTAAGCAATTCTCTTGCCTCAGCCTTCCAAGTAGCTGGGACTACAGGTACCCGCCACAATGCCCAGCTATTTTTAGTTTGGGTTGAGGTTGTCATTGTTGTTTGGCAGGCCCTGGCTGAATTCGAACCTGCCAGCTCCAGTGTATGTGGCTGACACCATAGCTGCTGAGCTACAGGCTCTGAGCCATCCACTCAGGTTTTATTGAAGGCTGTTTCCTCAGTAGCCCAGATAGTAAGCTGAGGAAGGAACAAAGACAGCTCAGCAGTTTCTCTGAGCAAGCATGTATGTTCCTATTGTTTCTATAATCATTAACTTTAAGGGTATGAACAGCCTTGAGAAATTTGAAACCTGAGCCTTGGGTGGGAGCAACCTCCTGTCTGTCATCACACACACAGATACCTAGGGGGATTATTAATCCTCACTAGTTCACGGTGGAGTAAAATGCCACCAGCATCAATTTTCTCTGAAGAATTGGTGTGACAGAGGAATTTTCCTCTGATCTTCACCACAGCGGGTCTTCCTATCTCATAAGGGATATGAGCTCTCCTACCCATATTTCAGTGCTCAGGCTGTTCACTTGATATCTGCCCTGGCCAAATACAAATCTTCACTAGGCAAAGGATGGCCTAGTTAATGTTTATTTCCAGGCCTTGAACACAGCTTCCTCAGGGGACATTGTTCATTCAGAGTGTTCAGAGACTCAGCAGGGGAGTTTGCAAGCTGTATCCTCTATAGGCCAGGCTTCCAGGAAACTGCTTTGATAATAAATTTAGTGACTGTTGGCTCACACCTGTAATCCTGCACTCTTAGAAGCTGAGACGGGTGGATTGCCCAGAACTCACAGGTTTGAGACCACCCTGAGCAAGAGTGAGACCTCCATCTCTAAAAATAGCCAGATGTTGTGATGACTACCTTTATTCTCAGCTACTTGGGAGGCTGAAGTAAAATAATTACTTGTGCTCAAGAGTTGGAGGTTGCTGTGAGCTATTACGTCAAGGCACTCTACTGAGGGTGACAAAGTGAGACTCTGTCTCAAAAAAAAAAAAAAAGGAGAGATTTAGTAGCAACTAGTTTAAAGGTAAACCAGCTGACTTAATTTTTTTTTTATTTTTGCCTTATTCTAGGGGTGTTTTCCCTTGTTAAGATTGTGGTCTTAAGTCCCCAACCTCTCTGCTGGCACTACAGTAAAAGGAATAGATTTCTGGAATACATTTTCAGCTTTAATGTTGTTGGTATATATAAAAGTTACTGATTTGTAACTATTGATTTTGTATCCTGAGACACTGCTATATTCCTTGATCACTTCTAAGAATTTTATAGTTGAGTCCCTGGGTTTTTCCAAGTATAGGATCATGTCATCTGCAAAGAGTGAGAATTTGACTTCTTCTGACCCCATTTGAATACACTCGAGCCCCTTCTCTTGCCTGATAATGATGGCTAGGACTTCCATTACTATGTTGTATAGCAGCAGAGACAATATGCATCCTTGTCGATTTCCAGATCTGAGTGGAAACATTTTGAATTTTACTCCATTCAGTATGACATTGGCTGTGCATTTGCTGTAGATGGCCTCTGTCAGTTTAAGAAATGTCCCATATTAGCCTATTTTCTGGAATGTTCTGATCGTGAAAGGATGCTGGATATTATCAAAAGCTTTTTCTGCACTAATTGAGATAATCATATGGCCTTTGTTTTTTACTTTATTTATGTGATGTATTCTATTTATAGATTTATATATGTTGAACCAAGCTTGTAAACCTGGGATACAGCCAACTTGATCATGGCGTATAATTTTTTTGATGTGTGTTGAATTCTGTTTGTTAGGATCATATTGAATATTTTTGCATTGATATTCATTCATGATATTGGTCTATACTTTTCTTTCTTTTTTTTTTTGGCCTGGGTTGGGTTTTAACCCACCACCTCAGGCATATGGGGCTGGTGCCCTACTCCTTTGAGCCACAGGAGCTGCCCCACTTTTCTTTCTTTGTTGGGTCCTTTCTTGGTGTTGGGATCAAGGTGATATTTTCTTCATAGAATGTGTTGGGGAGGATTCCTTCTTTTTGTATGTTTTGGAAATATACTTATCTTTTTGTATGTTTATGTAATATAGGTACTAGTTCCACTTTGGAAGTTTGGTAGAATTCTGATATGAAGTCATCTGGTCCTGGATTTTCTGCTTGTTGGGGGATTTCCTATAGTTGATGCTATTTCAGTGCTTGATATGGGTCTATTTAAAATTTCTAATTTTTCTGGTTGAATCTAAGAAGGGGGCATGCTTCCAGATATTGGTCCATTTCCTCCAGATTTTCATATTTCTGAGAATAGAGGTTTTTGTAGTAATCATTGAGGACTTTTTAAAATGTCTGTGGTATGTGTTGTTATTTCTTCTTTATCATTTCTGATTGATGTTATTAGAGATTTTACTTTTCTGTTTCTGGTCAGGCTAGTGAAGGATTTATCAATTTTATTAATCTTTTCCAAAAATCTACTTTTTGTTTCTTTGGTCTTCTGAATTATACTTTGTTTTCAATTTCATTTAATTCTACTCTAATTCCAGTTAGTTCTGGAATTTCTTCTGCTGAGTTTGAGGTTGGATTGTTCTTCCTTTTCCAGTTGCTTGAGATGACCCATTAGATTGTTGACCTTCTTTCTTTCTGTTTTCTTGATGAAGGCTTCCAATAGTATAAAGTTCCCTCTTAAGATTGCCTTTGCAGTATCCCATAGGTGTTGATAAATTGTGTCTTCATTACCATTTTGTTTCAAAAGTTTGATGATTTTCTTCTTAATATCATCTTTGACCTAGCTTACATTCAGTCTAAAGATATTTAGTTTCCATGACTTTGTTTGAGTATAAATATTTCTGTTGCTGTTGAGTTCAACTTTTATTCTGTGATGGTCTGAGATAATACAAGGAATAATTTTTATTCTTTTAACTTTGTTTAGGTTAGACTTGTGTACTAAGATATGATTAATTATGGAAGATGATCCATGAGCTGATGAGAAGAATATTTATTCAGTTTTAATAGAATGAAATTTTCTTTAGATGTCTATTAAGTCCATTTGCTTTAGGGTCGCGTTTTAGTCCATTATTGCTTTGTTTATTTTTATCTTTGAGGATCTATCCAGAACTGAGAAAGAGGTGTTAAAATTTCTAATATTATAATGCAGGAAGATATCAAATTGTTCATATCCATTAGGGTTTTTTTTTTCTTTTTTTTTTTT